GATAAATTAATTTGGAATCTGAACAAAAACGGAACATTCTTGGTTAAATCTTTCTACTCCCATGGGCATAATGGTCAAAAGTTTCCAGCCAATATGTTTGGAAATCTATGGTCCCACCTAGAATTTCCTTCTTTGCTTGGGAAACTGCTAGAGAACGCATTTTAACTTTGGATAATCTTCAAAGGAGAGGTATCACTATGGTCAATAGATGCTTTCTCTGTAAAACTGATGTGAAAACATGCTCACACCTGCTCCTTTGCTGCCCTTTCTCTCAATCTCTCTGGTCACTGGTTTTAAACATCATGAATTTATCCTGGGTTACTGTCGGTTCTGTTAAGGATGAACTTTTTGGCATAGGAAGGCCTGTGCAAGAGAAAAGCTAATCATAAAATCATTTCTTTGATTATCTTTTGGATTATTTTGAAAGAAAGGAACAGCAGAGCAAAGTAAAGAATCGGATTTTGTCGCCATCAATGATAAATGGTTGCACCTTTTTGGGTCTATAATTCTTGTGCACAACCTTGATAGTATTGTTGATTTTGTTTCTATTGTAGATACTTTTACTGATCTGTAAATCTTTTGTATACGGGTGGCATTCTCTTGGTGCCTATCTTTAATACATTTTCTCACTGTTATCTCAAAAAAGTGCGGATTTGCAAGAGGCAACAGCAGTCGAAGCTTCTGCCAGCGATTGTGGCGATTTCTGGTGGGGTTCCACAGTGGGGACTTTGAGGGCCGATCTGGAGCTGGTGGTGGTGGCAGAGTTGACCACCTCTGATAAGTGATTAATAACGGTTTTGGCGGCTGTTTAAAGGTTTTTGAATTTTTTTTCTTTTTCAAATGGGTTTGGGACTATATGGGTATGAAGTTTTAAGAATCTAGGTGTAGGATACTTTTAGCTCCGATACTAAATTTTTAAAGTTAATTTACCTACAAGAAAATTATGAGAAAAACCTAAATATCACACCTAGGGTTCTTAAGTATCACGCTTAAGAGTTGATTGAATCACACAATCAATTATGAGAAATTCTCAAAAAATTATTATTGAATACTTGGATGATTAATAAGTGATATTAAAAAGTTATTTATAATAATCTTTTAAATAATTTTTCCTAGCTAGAAATTTTTTTTTGAGATAAGAGTAGAAAACTGTATTGAAGTGTAGACACCAAGGGAGCGCTGCCCATATACAAAAAATTTACAAATCAATGAGCATATCTACAATAGAACCTAAATCATCAACGTTATAAAAGTTATATTCCAAAACAATGGAACCAAAAAAATGAAACCATTTATCCTTGATGTTGCCAAAAATATCCTCTTTGCGTTCAAAAGCTTTTCATAACTAGAATTAAAGTAGGAAATAGTAATATAATAGAATTAAAAATATTAATCCTCATATAAAAAGAAAATAATACTAATAAAAATAAACTCCTAACTCTAATAAGACTCTTAAATAATAAACTAAAAGTACACCGACAATAAATAAATTGATATCATGGCTATGCACCAAGATTGTGTTTAGAAAATTGATTGTGTTTAGACTCTTCCTAGTGCATTTTGGAAGGCCAAATTTCCCTTTAAGCTTAAAGATTGTGTTTAGAATACTATTTTGGACAAGCTCAACAGTACTGGTTTGTTGCAATTTTTAAAACCTAACTGTTCCATTTCTCTAGATGTGTCTTTTATGTGCCCCAAGGGGGTTGGATACCATAGAAACCTCTTTTTGCATTTTGAGATAGCCTAGAGGCTCTGGTCTAGGTTGTTTGATTTGGTGCCATGTCCCCTTTCCCTTGAATGTTTCCTTTCTATGTTCCTTAAGAGAGGTGGGAGGAGAAGTTAGTGCGCCTTGGACAGAAGCTATATCTTCTAAGTTGTGGTTGGAGCTAATGCAAGAGTCATTAAGGATCATCATTTTCTTCCATCTCTCCTATGAAACAAAATGGTTTTCTTTCTTGCTTTGTGAGTCAAGGCTCATAGTTACTTTGGGGATTTCTCTTTAGCAATTTTGCAAAAAAAGACTGGGATGCATCACTTTAATGTCGATGATTTTTTTCCTTTCCCTTTCTTTTCTGTTTCCTTAGGAGGACTTTTTGTCTTCTAGAGTTGTACTTTTTTCTCTTTTCTCCAGAAATATTTCATTTTGCAGTAAGAGAAAAAAAGAAAACACAAAAAGTTGCTCTAAAGAGAACAATGGAAAGAAGTGTTCCAGTTAAACATTAAAAGTTTAGGACTCGGAAATTTAATAGAGTCCCTTCATCAATAAGATCACAATTAAATAGTGGTCTCCTTTCACTCATGTAGGATACATGCCTACAAAATTTGAAAGACCTGTCTGTTCTAGAAAACAGAGTAGAGAAAATAGTTAATCCTCAAACTATAAGAAAATTAGTGAAAATAAAAGACGGCTTTGTATAGAAAAGAGATTTTAAAGGGTGGAGATGATCATTTGGGCTTTTTCCAATGCCACATGGCCCATGTCACATCCAAGATACTGAAAACTTAGTTAAGATTTATTTAAAAAAAAAAAAAACTGAAAACTTAGTTAAGAATATTTCACCTGTGTTTTGCTTATAATCCAAAGAATATTTGACTTATCTTCTGTAAAATGTCAAGGAATCTCCACCAGAGAAGCTCTATGTGAATCTAAAGAACTACAGTTACATGCAAAAAGTTTTTTCCAGCTTAGCTGTTTCAGAAATAATTTTAAACATGACACAGGAAAAAGTTGTTATCGCTACTGATTGATAGATATTTGAAGCTCTGATTGGCTAAATACTAGATATATAGCTGCCTTGATATACAAAAAACCACTATTTTAATGATCAAGAGAAAGAGACCAATTCATCAATATATATATAGTTTTCTCTATAGAAAAAAATGCTATATAAAGAAAGAAAGAGAATAACAAATAGAAGATAATAAGGTACCTTCAAGCAAAGAGAAACAATATTAGAAAGAAACAAAAGCAAACGAGGAAGAGAGCTAGATTCATTTTTAAGAGAGCCTCCCAGTTCCTTTGCATAATAGACAAAGTGACACAGGGAGCTCCAGGATAAAAAACACCTTTGATCTTGAACCCACTATACTCAGCAACAGAAACTCAATTATTTAAATCAAACCCTTGCTACTAGAATCACAGTTAAGGTATTGAAAGTTTATCCAAGTAATTGGGAAATAAAAACAGTAATTGAAAAGACGCCACGACTTACTCGATAAGTCGATTCAAGATTCCCCAGCTCAACAAGCTGATTGAAGCAATCTCTCTTTAAGAACACTTAAAAATTAGCAAAAGTTAATTGATCAGCAAAACTAAAATTTTATTTATCTCTCAACTGAATTCTGTGTGAATTACAGCCTAAAGTGATGTCTTTATATATGCTTTCACCGGAGTAATTTCCAATAATTACAAATACTAGAATTCTATCCAAGATCTAGACTTTATCTAAATCTTAATCCATAAAAATAATAAAATAATCCTAATTATAGAATTCTACATTAAAATAATACTTAAAATTATTAAAATATTAAATAGATAAATTCTCACCCTTTTACCATAATTTTCATGTGCATAATTCTTCATGTGGACTTCAAATTGGAGAAGAGTCCTCGGAATTTTTTTTCAGCATAAAATTATGTGGAAAAAGTGGCAAAAAAGGGGAGACTCCTTGCAGGAATCAACCATCCAGCCCGCACGTCCCAGGCCCACAGAAAAGCTGTCCCACATGTGCGCAGCACTGCAGGTGTGCGCGTCTGACTCCCTGCAAATGCAGCTTTGCCCGTGCGTGCACAATCTCCTCTCATGTGCTGCAAGTGTGTGTCCCCCTCTCTGCGCGCGCGCAATATGGGCCTCGCATGCTCTGCTTCCCTGTGCGTGTGTAGCTTACTGCTCCGCACAAGCGCGCTGCCCAGCATGTGGGGGAAAGACCTTCCCGCACACCGCGCATGTGTCCTTCACATGGGCAAGTGCCCCACGGGTGCAAGACCTCTTTCTCACACAAATGGCGGCCCACACACGTGAACAAGGATGTTCACATGCGTGGCACATTTTGTCCGCCCTTCTCCAAGGCCAAACAGATCCAGGTCTTCTTCTTCTTGGGTCAAGGCTCAGCCTTGCTCCTTGACATGTGGTTCCTTAAGCTCATGAAGCGTCACTTGGGACTTAAGTCTCTTTACTTGAACAAACTTGGTCATTCTTTAAAATAATCCCAATTAGAAAAGTGGTTAGGAGTATAGGTACTTTTCTCCTTGAGACGATCCAGTTTAAGAAACAAAAAGAATCCAAAACTGCTTGCCTGTTTGGGACGAGACTCTACTTAGATTTTTGAGATTTCTCTTAGCTTGGCCATGCTCACATCACAAAGCAAGTCCAAAATTTCCTTGTGCCTTAGCCCATTCGGATCACTACATCCCAAATAGCTTTGGGAACTATTAACAAGTTGATGAAAAATCCTGCCATTGAAAACCTAACATCCAACAAAGAGTGTCCCTCTCCAAAGAATTTTATGGTCTCCATTCTTTGACAAAACCCTCAAATACGTAGATAAGAATTGAATCCCTCTAAGTGTAAAGGGCAAATCAAATTCTCTCCAAAGATGGCAAACAACTTAGACCAATCTGGGAACCAGTGTTGCAATACAAGAACAAATTGACTATTAGTCTCCACGTTCCTAGAGTACATTAGAAGAAATAGCTTTATTTTGAATCGGTCTCCTACAATGCAAGATATATGTAAATATAAACTTATCATGCTACCACTAAGTATAGTATCATTTTCTCTAAGAAGTGGAAAGACCGAAAATGCCCTTCGGACATGTGTGACTCCCCAAAAAGAAAGCAAGATCAAATTCCTAAAGGCCAAAAGCAATCATAAAAATCATGAAACTTAAACAAATTGATAATCAATAGAAGTAGAATGCATGAAAATAAACCCATCAAAATAAAAGGTACTGAACTTCGAAGACCAGAACCAAAAAACAATGATAATTCAGCGACCTTACCTTGTCCCAGGATCGACTTGTTTCAAGAGAGAATTGTTAGGCAGGACAACTTCTGAGACAGGAGTTTTCATGGCCTTCTCCTGATCCTCAAGACACTCATTTCTAGCCAAGAAAGCAACGATATCGAGAGAATTGAGTATACCCACAAACCTCTGTTGCCTCATTTCGCTGTTCTCAATCACACCCGCCACTGATCTCCTCTTCCATACGGGAATCCCGCATTCTGTGGACTCTCCGATGGCCCGAATAGCCGATTCCACAGTCTCTGTATCGAAGAATTCCGCCATTTCTGGCTTGCCCACCGTCAGATCGCCCACCACATGGTACAAAAACACCGACGCCATCGTGTTTATCCGCTTGGTTTCTGAGAAAACTGAAACAATAACAAAAATAAAATAAAGAATAAGAAAGTTCGTCGTGTCGATAAACCAGCTCTTACATTGGTCCTTTTTTTTTAAAAAAAAAAAGAGAATTATAAAATAAATAAACAGACGTACCTCTCAACTAATTAATTAGCTGAATAATTGATCCCTATTTTCTTGGGAATTCGATGCCTGAAATCGTTTTCTCGTTTTCTAGCCGACCAAACAGGAAGAAGAAAGTATTAAAAAAAAAAACAAAAACGAAAGAGGAGACGACGGAGTTTGACTTAAATAGTCTAGTATAACAATAGATAATTATCAAAGAAGAAATTAAATATAGAAATCGGAATCAAGGATGATGAATTTTGATTTTCTTGACTAATACTGTAGCTTCACCGGGAATAAAACAAAGAAGGAAAGCTTGTAGAAGTTACCGGGAGAACCGGTATAGAAAGCGGGAGCTATAAAAGGGAGTGGAGGAAGATAAGAAGAAGGTGAAAAGCTGTAATGGTAACCGGTAGTCTGTAAAGGATCAAAAGAAGAAGAAGACGAGGAGGCGTCGCCATTGAAGGAAATGAAGAATTGTGAGGTCAAGGCCCATGAAAATGGCCGCTTCTGGATCTGATTCCGTCCGGCCAGCTGCGTGGAGTGAGTGACAGAAATCAAAATGCGTGAAAAATGGTGAGCATTGGAAAGAGAGAATAAATAGAAATGGATCAGGATATTTCGCAGCAGGGTCAAAATCAAACAAAATTGCCAGATTTGTTTTTATCTAACATTTATGTATTTTATAGTATCAGTAATAGAAAATTATTTACCAATAAAACTTTTTCATTTGCCTTATTTATTTATTTCTTCTATTTTTAAAAAAAGAATTATATAAAATATTTAATTGTTAATTTTAAATATAATCTGGAGTAATACTACAAATATCTTATAAATTTTAAAAATATAATTCTTCATTTACACTACTTTGTGGTTTTCAATATTTAATATTAAAAATTTTAAATGTATTGGATTTGAAATACTTCAAACTATAATTTATCTTTTCTTAATTAATTTTATTGGAGTGAATTAAAACTATCTAATTGAGGTTAATTTGACTCACTTGCCAAGTTTGATAAGAACTTCTAAAAACAAAAATTTTGGGGCAATCTATAAGAAGAAACATATATATCACTTTTTTTATCGA